CGATATTGGATATATGTAGTAACGAAGGTTAACAACGCTGCCAGCGAAAAACAGAACGTCTTTTAATCGTCTCATCTACCCTGGTAATAGAGACCCTGAAGACATTAGCAGAGCACACTTCGTCACATCTTACGAAGATAAAAAGACTACGTAAAACTTCCTTGTCCAAAATTACTTATTGATGACTTAAATGCAATAATAGATTATCGTGTGATATCAAATCTATAATACAATGCACAATGTGCCGAGGCAAATCAACTGCCGAAACAGCTCGAAATATCTGGGCCATGTGCAGTGTAGACTTCATTTCTGAGAGGACTGCTTAGAAATGGTTTGCTAAATCTAGAGATGACACTTCAAACCTTACTCAGGTTTTCTATCTAAAGTTGATGAGACCGTTTGAAGACATTTCTATAGGTAGATTGCCAGCAAACAACTCATGAGCAGGCCAAAAAATTTGCTGGGTTTGTGTTACGACTATAAGCCATCTTCAGTCAGTGGGATTTAAAAATTGCGGGTTTCGGTGTCCGGCAGCCAGGCGAAAAACACAATGAAACACGGTTTTTCTTGACCCTTTCGTACATTTCCCTATACCGAGAGGCACCCAGTAACAATAACGACCTTACATACCGAGTTGTTATTACCGAGTTACCAAGAAATGGTCTGCTCACTTCTGTATGAAACAGAAAAAGATAGTAAGCTCCAACAGGGATGGAATTAGAGGGTCTCATACATTGCAAAAATGTGTGAAAAACGCTTGACAAAAATCTACGTATATATGACCCACTTGCCCCAATAGGTTTGAGAAACAAGAATAAGCACCCTTTTCTGTCATAATGCTAGGTTGCGTATAGCAAAAATCGGCAAAGTTACCCTGTAGTGAGATAAATTCGTATTTACTCACCATATCCTTCAGAGCTCGTGCCGACGGATTAAAAATCGTTGCCCAATTATCTTATTATTTATAAAACACCGTATTTTATAAGGTAAAAGCCGTCATTACCTCATTACCAGCGTCAATAAAGTTTCTGGACTCATGTAATGGGCGAAAAAATAAAGAACGAGGCAACATTTTCAACACGCACCTCACTAAATATAACTGAGTAAGTTATACTTAGCTTGGCATGCCGAAGTCATTTAAAAATAATGATAACGAATTTTTTTTATGTTTTATTCATTAAAGGTTGCTCTGAATGGAATTAAGTTCGTCAGTATATGTACGTGTTTGCACGCGCGTGCGCATCCGTGAGGCATCTTACAAACTTACGGACGTCAGAATCACGCTCCATTAAATAAAAAGAAATGTATTGTTTTGTTTTTTACGAAGTTGTAATCAATAACGATAAGCCTACAACCGATCGAGAGCGTTACTAAGATCATTCGTGAGACGGATGCTGTGCTCTTCGTTGCTGATAGCCTACGTGGTGTTCTTGTTATGGGTGTGTCAAAAATTAGTTCGAGCATTATCAAAGCAGTTTGAAAAATCCCACGAGCAGCAGTCCCAACCTTGTGGTATTGAGCCATGTTCCCATTTGTGGACGATTATGACCTTCCTGAGATGTTCGTCCGCTATGAAACCAGTTAGACGTTCGAAGATCTGACCTATCCAAATAACAGTTCGAGCAAGGAACTTAATACGTCTGACAGATAAGCTAGTTATATATATATATATATATATATATATATATATATATATATACACTTTGTAGTTATTTGAATATTATTAATTATTATTTTTAGTACTATTATTATATTAATCTTTCTTATCTGAGATAGTTAAAACAAAGGAGAAGGCGTACTTGCGTAAAACGAGGAAGGTCGTGTAAGCTCCGTTCACGTGAGCTTTCAAAAGTTTCATTTCGCTTTAGCACTGCTCTGATAGGGATTGAATGTAGTTTATTACTGTTATTATTAGTATTATTGATTAAAAACATTGTCGAGTTATCTAGTCGCGGAGTTACACTCGTATAGTCTATCTCAGTTATGTGGAAACTACTTCGTCCTGTTCTTGAAGATGAATGCATGATCTTTGCATAGCCCACACTAAACGGCATTGAATGCTAGTTGGTCCCCTGGTGAAATTTGGCGTCCAATTTGGCCCGCCGGTAGAATCGTATCGTTTGCTTTGAAACCCGACATTGTTTTCATATAATTACCTTATGCCACCGCCTATTTGACCCGCATGAGTACCTTTGAACGGTGCTATTTCAAAAGGGACTTCCTTCTCGCCGATTGGTTCCCATTATCGGCATGAAGTTTCTAGCTCGAAACTTAGCGTCAGATATCTGTTTGGAGTAAGTATATGTCTTCTGACTGCTTCAATTTGTGTCGGCAGGATGAATATGCACCAAGCTGCACAAGTAGAATTAAAAACTTACGTATGTTTAACTATAATTAACTGGAGGAAGTGTTAAAGCTACTTAAGTTCAACAGTCTATCCGATATTAAGAACTGTTGTCTGGGAGAACCTGACACAAACTCAGAGAAAAGCTCAACACAAGTAAAGAACAACGCCAATCGCACTTGAGAAGAATAAGGCTGAGTATATATAAATATATGTTTTTTTTCTTATTCTATTTCAGAGGGAAGCTTCAAAGTATAGACAACCTATTCGAAAGTCACTTCAGCTTACAGTATTGATGATCATTAGGTATTCTCTTAATTTTTTCCTAGAAGGGCTATACTACTGTTCGCTACCCGTTATAGGGCTATCAAGTTATACTAAACAAACATTGGAGGGGCTTGAAATTGATTGTTATTGCTATACGCTTTCTGCTTAAGTTAGTCAGCTGAAACATAACAGCTTTACTATTAATTCAGGAGTACTTTAAATTAATAGGGCAATATATATATATAGTTAACACTAATACATACTGATCTAGCCAAAGGATGTGCCGACCGACAGGGCAATTAGAACTGAGCAACTGCTCTGTACTAGGCCATCAAAAAGAAATTTAATGCAAATACAGTCAGTCAACATACAGGAACCAAACTATCGCGTGCGCATGACGTGTATGTGAACTCCGTACTGATTCATACAGCAAAGGACAAATCAAGTTAAAAAAAATGCTTCAAGTTCAACTACTAACGTTATGGCGCTACCGTATCGAAACATGAATATACGATAGCATAGAAAGATGAAAGAGGTAGAATATGCCTAGTTTATTTGGCCAAGCCAAACTCACTCTGCAACAGAATAGGACATCTTACCACTCTGAAGGTCAACGTTATAATAATGCAGTGAACAGCGTGGTGATATTATCTATTGTCCCGAATCCCCGTCCGCTTTAAAGACTAGCCAGAGAGAAAGACGGCCCAGAAGCTTTTAGTTCGGCAATTATGGTCAATGGAGTTCTGCGATAATTAGTGAGAAGCCATTCACCCTATGAATTGCTTTTAGGCCTTGAGTATTACTGAGTGGTTACCTAATAGGAACTTAAATTAGGTATCAGATCAAGTTTTGAAGCCTTTAAGGTTAAAGCTATAAGCGTGCAAGCATATCATTGCCGATTTATACCTACTATTACATGTATATTGCTTGCGTGTGACACAACGAGTCCGTTGATGATAGAAGCAAGCAACAGGTGTAATCAACGTCTCTGACCGAGCAATTACGAATACTAAATATAGGCGTAATAGAAAGTAGAAGCTAAAGTTGCTATAAACCCTATTTCTGACCATTTCCTTGAAATTTCATAGAAAATATGTCAAGTACAAGATAAAACTAGAGTAAAATTAAGTACTGATAGTAAAAAATGACAAGTACATACAGCACAAGTATCGTAGATATGAAAGCACATTTATGAAATTAGGATGTCCTAATTTCGACGAAAATTGCAGCATATATATTCTCGTATAGGAATAAATAGCTGGATATTTTTGTTCTCTAGGGAACGAAAGTTTCATAAAGCATAACTGGGGCCTTACGATAGGCCAGATAGGACATCTGAGCCGAATTCCAGGTATGGCTAGCGTTAAATTAACTTTTAGAATTAGCGGAATTATTCGTAAGACTGGTCGCATCTGTTTAACAGATTCCGCTGTTTGTAATTCACCATCGTTTCTTTTTT